ATCCACCATTCGGGCTACTCCAACGGCTGCTCAACAAACGCTGTACACGGCCGAGCTAGCTGAGTACAACGTAGATATTAAGGAATATCGAAGGCTTAAGGATAAGGTCGGCTAAGTGGAAACCTATATTACTAAATTAATTAATCTAAAATACTTATATTATATTAAGGACAAGGACAGCACGTATAAAAAGCTTAATACGCTATAACAGCTTTTATCGCCTACAGCTATTGATTAAGAATATCGCGTTCAACAAGCCTACGAGCTCGCTAAAGCTTTCTATGCCCGATAATTAAATATCAAGGACTGGTGTAATTCCTTTCTCACCGCCTACAGAAGAGCTGAACAGCTCCAACTCCTGGAGGTTCACGGATTTCGAGCCCAGAAGGACTTCCTATAAGTAATTAAGCTCTTCGACTCTGCATACGCCGCAAATCTTTTATTAAAAGTCTTTTAAGCAGAGGAAGCCTGGAGCTGTAATTAAGATACACCTATTAATTAAACAGCCGATTAAACAGCTTAATTGCCGGCTATTATTGCTAAGTTCTTGCAATATTATTACACTATAAGATTAAAAAAGATTAATATCTATAGAGGAGCCTTTGCTATACTTAATAGCGAAGAATCTCTATATAATAACAAAGATAAGAAGAAGCTAAAAAAGCCCTGTATCTATAGTAATATTTACTTCTAGGAACAGTGCCTATATATTAACACTAATAACCGGAAAAAGGGATTTGTTGTTAACCCTAAAAAAGCTAAGAAAATTGCTAATTATAAAGCTAATAATAAAGAAGGAAGGCTAAATAAGATATAAGCAAAGAATTGTTAATTCTATAAGCTAAAAATGCGCTAAGATCCTTAACAGTCTTAACCAGAGGATAATAATAGTTCCGATTTAATTACGATTAATGCAGGAGACCTACTAAATTAAGCCGATTTAACGCATGCTGCTTATACTATCTTCTTATTAGCTTTTAGCCCTTATTAAAGCTACCTACTGCTCTACTTATAGACGCTTAATCCAGCTATAGATATCTATATCTGCAATAACCCAGACGAGTTTTAATAGAAGGCTCCAGCCTCTCTAGATAATATTATCCTAGCAGGAGCTTTAGAAATGCTAATTAAAGCTTAGGAAGAAGTTAAGATACCTCTAACAACACTATAAGGAATTAAAAACACGACTCTTAAGTATATAGCCTTAATTCCCTTATTTTTTATAAGTCTAGTATCTCTCTTATAGCTTACCTTAGTAAATATCCACTTTAATTCTGGTAAAAACCTGCTCTATAAGCTATTAGGATTATTATTAGGATTATTATTAGGATTATCTATAGAGCCTATCGCTTATTTTATAAAGCTTAGAGGCTATTAGCTAGTTATACAGCAAGCTAATATATAAGCAAATCAGCACCTTACCTTTACAGCTAATAGTTGGCGGCTATATTACTCTGCTTAACTAAGAAAGCCACTTAACCTTATAAAAGCTAAGCTCCACCTGCTTATAGGCTATACCGGACCCGAAGCTATTAATTACCTGGCTTACAACATAATTAGTATTATGCTACCCAGCGGAACAGCTCTAATAATAATAGATTGCGCTAAATACTTATAGAACAAAGCTTATAAGATTATCTCTTGCCGATTAGAACACGAGCTCGGGGCTGCACGGCTATTTAAATTAATCGCTATTAATATTATTAAGCTTAATAACACGGGCTATAATAATTATTAATACGTCTTCTACGCAACCGATTTATATACAAAATTCAACTTTATATATATAATAGCTAAAAAGGATAAGCTAACGCTATTAAGTATTATTAGGTAGCTTAATAGGGCTATTAAACGCGAATTTAATATTACAGTTATGTTCTTAATAGCTAATAATAAGAAAGGCTATAGATTTCTTAAAGATTCGGTTTAAGCCTATTATATTTAAGAAGGAATTAGACTCTAAATCCAATTACTATATACTAAGGAGTAAAATAGCGCTGTAGAGCGCTCTGGCCGAAGCCTTATTAACAAAGCTTATTCTATAAGAATCGCCTTAAATCTCCTACTTCCCCTTGCTCCAGAAATATATATTGCTGCCGCATATCTCCTTAATTAAACGCTAACTAAGGCTATTACCTGGAAAACTCTATTTTAGCTTGCATATAAAAAGAAGCCGTTAATTGCCCACTTTAAAATCTATAGCTGCCGAGCCTATATACTTTAAAAGCAAATTTTATAAGGAGATAAACTCTCTAAAAGAGCTTAAATTAGCTATCTTATTAGCTACAACTTTTCTAATATATATTAAGTTTAGATTCTAAATGCTAATAGCAGAGCTTATAAAAGCAAAGTTATCCGAACCCGAGATATTACTTTTAAAGAAAATACCTTTTATTAAAGCAATACTATAGACGCTATAGATATACAGCTACAGGGTAAAAAGCTTAAAGAAATTATATAGTTGCTATATTAGCCCTTGCTTTATAACCTAGAGGAATCGTCTAAGAATAAATATAAGATATAAGCACTAATAGCCGAGCAACTATTAAAAGCTCTATTAAAAGCTCTATTAAAAGCTCTATTAAAAGCTCCACCTTATCTACCTACTCTGGTATTATTAATATCGCCTTAAATTAAGCCATCGCGGGCGCTATTATAGGAGCTATTAAGCTCGCTATTACAGGAGCTATTAAGCTTAAGCTTAAGCTTTAATTAGACACGGAAAAGAAAGCGCAATTCTAAAGATTCTAATTCTAATTTAAATACAGCTCTACAGCAAGAGCTTATTAATAGCACTCTAAGAGCTGCTTATATTCTTCTATAAAAATTAATAAGATTACAAGCGCCCAGTAAGAAAGCTTGTTATAACTTAAGCTTCTTTATCCAGAAATATTGGTCTATATATATAGCTGCCTTAAGCATAGCTGTTAAGATATAATTCTATTAAAGCTAGCTTCTAACCGAGCTAAAATACTATTAAGATATTATAAAGCTGCCCTCTCTATATAAAGAAGGCTTTTAATTGGCTATGCAGCGCGAAATCGAGATAATTAAGCGTAAAGGAACCTACAGCCAGCTAGCTTAGAAGGACCTAGATGCTTAAAATAATAAAGTTCTACTGTTAATCTGGGTATATAAATATAAACTTAACGCCGATAGATATCTTACTAAATATAAGGCTTGAATTTGCGTACAAGGAGACCTCTAAATAATAACTAAGGAAACCTATGCAGCTATACTTGCAATTAAATACTTCCGAGCTCTAATCGCGATAGCAGCTTATTTTAATATGGAAATACAACACTACAACGCTGTTAATATATTTATAAATACTTAATTGGAATCAAAAGTCTATTACTATCCACCCGAAGGATTCTCTAATCCAGATTACCTTTAGAAGCTTAACTAAGCACTCTACAGCTTAAAAACCTTGCTATTGCTCTAGTATTAAGAGCTTATAAAAATGCTTTAAGACCTTAGGCTATAAGAGATTAAAGACGCCCTATATATATAGAAAAATAACAAGCTAATTATCTTCTTCTACGTTAATAATATTATTGTGCTTGCAAGGCTATTATATTAATCCGCTCTTAAGAGCTTTAAACAGAAGCTGCTCTATCGCTACAAGATTAGATCTCTAGGAGAGCTTAGCATCTTCTGCGGGATTTAAATTAAACGCGATAGATAATATAGAGCTATATAGCTATTATAAGAAGCGTATCTTAATACGCTGTTACAGAAATTTCCATTACTAAAGCCTATTCGCTTAACGTAATCCACAAGTTAGTGGCCCGCACAAGCTAGTGGCCCACCCAACTCAACACGCGACGCGTCGTCCAACAACCACCCCAATGGCAGCACCA